GTCATTGTAGTGAATTGTAAAAGTAATGATAACAACACACAAAACGCTACTGGTTACTCCAGGCAGAATTTTTATTAACATCCAGCACCGACTTAGCTCCACTTCCACATGAACGATGGTGGCCCTAGCCCTCTACCCTCCTTCTCCCAGTGTCTCAAGGGTATGGAGATCTCCCTGGGACTTTTAAACCTCATCTTTGTTAACTGTATGTTAGGATTTTATACCGAGGGGATATTACTCAGTAGGAATTCAGTGAATACCACATCTGTAGCCTTGCCTTGTTATTTTATACTCTTCTAGAAAATGGAGGCTAAAAAAGTTCAATGGCTTCTACATTACATTTTGAATAGCCCAGCACTTTTGTTCTAAAAATAAATACAGAACTTAAAAATAAATAATTGTGTTCAAACCAAAGGCTTACATTGCTTATGAGGATATTCACATATGATCAGCTGTTGAAAGAGTTGCAGTTCAGCTGTGCTGAGCTAAGATTTAGTGACAGGGGCACCCAGGGATCAAACTCAAAGGCAGAACCTTAGGTTTTTTTTCCTTAGTGAACAAGAAATGAGTATGGAGGCATCAGGCTAGATGATGTGGAGAGATAACACACAGTACCAAAAGTCTCGAATGCTTTCCAGCAGCGTGGAAGACTGGTATGGCCAATATTTAGGCCAAGATTCAATAAAGAATATTAAGAACAATTGTTAAGTTCATTCTTACTTGGCAAAGCACATCAATTTATGCTTATCTTTAACCTGTGATTATTGAAGATAATAAAATTTATGCAAGCACTTAAAATTAAGCAACAGTTTTATTGTTGTGTTGAAAGGAATCCGTAGCAAGCTGGGCAGAAAGTAGCCTGGCCTGAAATGGCCAAGGGAGGCTGTTTTTATATAAGGCTGCATGACAAGATAAAAAACAGGGAAAACTTTCTGAAGATTTCCTCATCCTCACTTCCCACTCCATATCCTCCCACCTTCCTAAATTATCCTTTTTACATCTCAATTGATGGAAAGACAAAGAAACCACTGTAACTGAGTAGAGCTGCAGAGCGTAGCAAAAATTGCAAGGGGTAAGACTGATAAAAGCAAGACTGGTCCGGCTTGAATATATGAGGCAAAATAACCAGAATAAAGCTATAAATGTACATTGACAATGAAGGACAAAAAGCATTATAAGCGTTGTTGCTGCAGTCTGTAAAAGCATTTGCAGCAGACAAAAGATACAAGAAGAAATGCCAAGTAGAATTAATAGAAGAGAGAGAATAAAAAGTTAGCAAAATTATTCAATTATTTTTTCCATAATTATTTTAAACAGTGGAGCACATGCTCTAGTATTCTGAGAGTTAGGCACTTGTATATATCTTTTGAATGAAGCTCAAGCATATGGTTAAAAGTCTTTCCCAAATGAGAATTTTTCTCTGAAATCAGGCTGAAGACAGGAATGCAGAGCTCCTTGAACAGGAATCACATTTCCAGACATAGGTCCAGGTTCAACCATGTGTATGTGTGATGCTGTATTTGAAAATAGCGTATGCATGTATCGCAGAGGGAGTACTTAATGTGCTTGAAGTTGGCAGCATGCTTGAGCACCCTGATAGATTGTGGTGAGAGAGAGAAGGTAAAAGCCGTAAAGGAGAAAGAAAACACTTGTGAAAGGTTTAGGCATTTTTCCAGATTGCTGGTACACTGTAGTGTGCTTACTGTTGGTGTTGGAACTTGTTATGTAGACCCTTCAGAGCAGAATTCTACTCACATATCCGATATGACTTTGAAATTCAGACTTTGCCATTACCAGGTCCAGGTAACACTTAAGGAAGACTAACTGGGTTTGATGAGGAGGGATAGAATTGTTTTTATTTCTTTTTCTGAAGAAAGGGAGAATAGGAAATAGATGGATGGTTTGACAGCAGGTAAGAAGCCCCAGATTTTTAGGGAACTAAAACATGAGTCTTAGGGAAAAAAAAACTTAACTTAAAAAATAACTAATTAAATAACTCATTACTAACTGATTCACTGTTTTTAGGAAAGATAGTGAGTATATGTTTGGTTTTAGTAAATAAGCATCTTGAAAGAAATAATTATTTTGGATACAGAAAATATTAACTTACAGACGTCCAGCTGTAAGGATTAAATGCCATACTTTGACTATTGCCATGGTCCTGTACAAAAATAACGAGAAACTGAGAAAAACATTAGAATTATGCATTAGCAAGTTTAATCTGATTCCCAAGTTAACTTTATTTGAAATTCAAGAAGCTCAGCTATCTTTCTAACCTCTCTCTTTTCTTGTGTTTCTGTAAAGTCAGTATCTGCAGAAACTTTTAGACACTACACAGTTGCAGTTTTAAATTAGTTTTCATTTTCATTTGTTTATGGGTTTTATGTCATTATTCACTCAGTTTAGACATATGACAAATTTCAAATAAAGAAGGTGCTCATGACTTTAATGGTCTTACACTGCCATTTGGATGCTGTTCAAGTTTAGCCGAATATTAAAACCTTAGGAGGATTATCCAAATGATATCTGTAGATCAGCAGTTTTCAACCTGTTTTCTGCCATCTGGGAATTTCTGGA